TGTCGTTTCGTAGTTCAAATAATTTCAATTGAGGAACATAATTAATTAATATTAATTATCTATACTCTCTCATTTTTATCTGTCCTCTTTTATATATTTTATATATCTATATTTTAGCTATCATTGATGTCTTAATATTATTTTTTCATTTATATATGTATCATTTATTAAACTTGTATTTCAATTTCTAATTTTACACTAGCAGTGTTGGGTTTAGATTTTTAGGCAGTATTTTGCTGATGCCTCGTCTACTGATTGCAAGTTTTGTTTTTTATTAAATTTTTCTGCTGTATGTTCAATAAAGTAAAATATTCTTATTATTATTACTATTATTATTATTATTATACGATTCTCAAGTCGTTAATGTTGATAAAAACATTTTTGCATGTCGTAAGTATCAAGAAATGCCGTAATGGTATTGTATCAAATTTCGATACGAATTTGTCTCTAATTAGTTATAAGACACACAAAATTTATAATTGAGAGGTATATTTTGATATACGTTAAATTAGGTTATATTTACTGATACGTTAGGAGCGCAATATATTACGTAAACAATGTAGTGATAAACAATGGCATGAAAGAAACATTTTTACAATGGTCTTCTATTGTACCAACAATAGTTGATCGATACTTATCATCTAAAATAGTGCTGAGGCAACAGCAACAGCTTTTAGATTGACATTATGACGTGTTCAGTATTCATGCCTGTTGCCTTTTTTTCCCTTAACATTTAGAGGGTGAGGATCTATTTTTAAAATTTTACAATTTTTTTGAGAAAGCAATTCTATCATTGCAATTTATTATTTTTCATTGTATTGACATTGTTTCAATTATTGTGGCTTTCCCGTTTAAGGGAATTGTGTATTCACTGGCCAGTGAAATTATAAATATTTTAGTAAATTCGCTCACTTTGTAATTTTTCATCTCATTTCAAAATACACAACTGATTTCAATTATTTTTATAAAATATAAAATTATTATAAAAAATTAAAACTAAATTGACAGAGGTAGGAAAAGGAAGAACAATAGAATGTAAATGCTGATATTACACATTAAAAGTCACATGTCCAGAATTACACACAAATCTTGGACAGCACAGATCTAAAATACCATCTTTGGTATCATCTGACGCGATTGGTATATGCCAATTATCAGAATTGTATATTAAATCCATCGATTCGTGCCGTTGGCATAATCACGCGAGCGGTTAATTGCGTTCGATAATTCAAGACACCGACAAATCTTGTTAACGGAATTCCGCGGCAGTTGCGGTATCTTGTGCATCGTGTCAGCCTGACACTTGTTGGTACGCTAATTAACTAAAAGCATCGCATCGTGATAACGGCGGCGATACTAGTCGAGCATCTCCGATTTCGCCCTTTACGTCGGGAAATTCTACGAAACTATATAAAACCCGTCAATTCGTCGGTGACGTTATCGTAGACTTGGCGTTATTCGATAATTCAGGATAGAAATCTCGTTAACGTACACTACGGAATAACCGTAGCGGAAATCGTCATTCCCAACACGCGCTATATTCCCTTGGTCTTGTGCTTCTTGGATTGGATATAACGATCCTGAGACGGACAGAAGTAAAAATATGGAATATTGGAAATATAAATTAAAAATATCAAGTAATAATTTGTACGTCAATTAGAATTCTAACGTCGTCATCCTTCTCATTGTAACAACCAGGGTTGGGAAGTAACTAATTGCTTATAATGAAGTCACAGTTATAGTTACTTTTTTTCAGTAACTTAACTTACTTACATTTCTTCCAATATCTAGTAACTCATTTAACAGTTACTCTTACAATTACTTTACGTTTTAAACTTATTTGTCAATTTAATGTGATTAATTAAAATCTGAATTAAGAATAGGATCTGATTAAGAATAGGAAGGTCCACTACAAATGCTACGAAGTTTTTTGATAGGTTAGTAAATTGTAAACGTAAATAATTTTTTTCTTTGATAACTCTAATGATATCGATGTTACTGATATTGTTCTGTCATGATAACAGAAAAGCAACTGAAAAGTAACTGAAAAGTTACTTTTTTAGTAACTGTAATTGTAACGAGTTTTAATTTTTAGTTTCGGTAATTTGGAATTGTAACTGTAGTTACTCTCTTTTGAAAGAAAAAAAACTGTAACTGTAACTAGTTATTTCTACAAAGTAATTTTCTCAATCCTAGTAACAATCCCTTCTTGAATTTTCGTTGGGGAGATTTAGCGATAAATATATAATGGTAGTTGAGAGATTGTGACAGGTAAATGTGTTGAAAATAGAAATTAAAAGTATGCTTGCGTTATAGATCGATTTTTTTTTATTACTCTTTAAATTCTTTGTAATGGAATCTCAGTTTAAAGAATGAAAATTGAGCCAGTCTTGAAAAAGAGTGGCTCAATTTTCAACTTTTAAAGGTGAGATTTCATTCTTCAGAGAGTGACAATTTATTCTAAAAGTTTTAGAGAGTATACATACAGGACGAAATAATAATTTGTCTATCATGTCTCCATTACGATTTTAATATATACACAGTAAAGAAACATTTATTTTTTTCATGCGGGAATAATATTCTGCGAAACTATATCGATATTTATGTTTATATCTATAAGCGGAGTTAAAAAGTTCTGTTTCTAGCTTTTTCTCGTGAATATTTGCAGCGACTTTTTTTTAGCTTTCCAGGCTTATTATTAGCTTCAATCCTTCGATGAACTCGAACCGATATTTTCTTTGAAGTATATATCTTATCGAAAGTGATCGAATAGCCGATTTAAATCGACATTCAGATTACACGGAAATAAATTTATAGATATACGTTACACGCTTGTAAAATCGCAATTTGCAAATTCGTTTTTGATAATAACAATTTAAATAGTTGCTTTGACAAATTAAAACAGGCTGAAATTTTATATATATATAAATTATAATTTTATTTCCAAGAATTCTTATTTCGTCTATTTTGAAATTAAAACAGACTTTTTAAATAAAACTGTCCTTATTATTTTGTTCTATTATTTTTATGATATTTACAAGAAATAAAAACGCACGTTTGTACATTATCTCAATGCAAGTTTGAAAGTTGAAATATTCTTTCAAATAAAATTTTCAATTCCCTCCTTTAAAATTATTATCTCAATTAATAATTCCAATTATAGCATTTAAAAGAAATATTTCTTTTGCGTTTGAAAGGAGTATATTTTCTTGGAATTTCCCTCTCTTTCTCTTTCCTTTCTTTTTGTTATACGTATTTACAATTTCTTTTTTCTTTTTATATTTTTATTTATATCATTTTCGTTATTTGTATATATTTGTTTTCTTACTTTTCTTTTTACTTACCTTCATGTTCTTAAAGAGCTTGCCCTAAAATAGTGGTGTTTATTACACCACTATTGTTATTTCTCTCTTCTTTCTTTGCTTTACATAATTTACAATTTTTTAAATTTGCATCTATGTATATCATTCGTATTATTTATGCATTATACTTTCGTTACTTGTACATTTTTCTTCTTTTGCATTTCTTATTACTTACTTTTATGTTTCAAAAACATAAAAGTAAGTAATAAGAAAGGTAAAAAGAAGTAAAGTATTCTATGATCTTTCCTAAAATAATAATAAATCTAACATCTTGATCTCTTTCCTATTCTTACGGAGGAAGGAGGGGTGCATTTTGGAATGTCATTTGATTTGAAGGCAACTATTATAAATACTATAAATATCTATTTACAATAGTTCGCATTAAAAAAATGTGTGTCGATCGTGCTGGTCTCGGCGGCAGTCGGCGGTTACCGGCCGCGCGGAGTGGCGCGGTGCGTCGCTCGGCCGTTCTCGGCCCGCGTCGGCCGTTTCCGTCGATCTCTGCGGGGGCAGAGGCCTCCTACCCTCGCGCGCAGTCTCGCGCAGTCTTCACACTCTCGCGTAGGCGAACGGCGGCGCACGCAACGCGACGTCTCTCGGTCCGTCGTCCCTTCGTCCCGCGAGTGATTGGTTCTCTTCTCTACTCCTTTATCGGTTTGTCGGTAATAAACCCCAGTCGCGCATAATCTCTCGCGTGCTCGCGCGATCGCCGTCGCGGAACCATCGCCGTTGGTCTCGTGCCGTTGTCGAATCCGTGATAATCGGATACGCGCCACCTGCTGTGCGCGATCCGCTCGCCACCCTCGCACCACCCAACCCCGGTTGTCGTCGTTGTCGCCACCCTCTCCTCCGCCAACCCGTTTCGCTAGCCCCTCGATTGGAACGAATGTCCGTGGGCTCGCGTCGCGACGAATATCCCGCGAGGAGCGGAGGATCGTCCTCGCGAGGGAAACCGGCGAGGGAGCCGATCGTCGTCGATCCGTGATTCTGCAGTTCTGCACCGCGATCCCACCGAGCGGCTTCGAATTTTGGCGCGAGTGTAACCACCGGCGGCAACTTCACGCCGATCGTATTTAGGTGCGAACGAACCGGAGTGCGATCACACGTGACTATATTCGCGCCGTGAATTGTCAACGGTCGCCGGCGGATCTCTCCGCTCGCGACGTGTACAACGTCCGAAATTCGCGGCTACGTTTCGTAACCGCCGGTCGCACTTCGATCGTCGGCACCGCCGCGGCCGCCGTCGCGACGCTCTTCCGGACCCCCGGAAGAACGCGGCTGGGATTCCGCCCCGGGATACCGTATTCTCGCGTGTGGAGTTTTCGAACGAGTTCTAACGTGCGCCCGATGTGACGTCACGGTGGTGGCGCCATTAGATATTAGCCGAATAAGCCCCCGATTACTGGCACCCCCTTCGACCCAGTTCTCACTCTATTTGAGGAGTTCGAAAAAAAAGAATAAGTGGGCGTAAAGAGAAGAAGAAGCTTTGCCCGAAGCTTCTGGAGTAAAAACAACGGAGCGGAGCTCCGAAGGATCATCGGACCTTTTGTCGACCGGAGTGTGTTTTCGGAAGGTGAAAAGCGCGCGATCGGAGGATTCGCCGCGTTCGCATGCAAGTTCACGCGGTACCTTCGTGAAACTTGGCTCCGCGATTTTCGCCGAAACGCGAGACTGCGTTGCATTTGCCTGTGAATTTAAAAAGTACTCGGAGCCTTCAGGATCAGAGAAGGCGAAGAAGATCTCCATTGGGTGGGATTAGAAAAAGACTCGGAGAATCTGACTGTTGTCTCTGGATTCAAGAAATCTCGTTCTTGGAGCCTTCAGGATCAAGGAAGAAGATACCACTGAATGATTGGAAGAAGACACGGAGAACCTTCTGACTGTTGTCTCTGGATTCGAGAAATCGTGTTACTTGGAGCCTTCAGGGTCAGAGATATTCAATAGGGACGGAAGAGAAGAAGAAAAGAAGAAGAAGAAGATACTATCAGAAGTTCTCACTTATCACACAGCGGCGGAAAGAATCGCGAATGTTGGCGTTCGCGTGAAACCGAGCGAAGCGCGTTATCGAGGCTCTAACAGCCGACGGCTTCGACGTTTTGTCCAAAGTATGTTCCTCTCAGGACGCCCGTCGACGATCGGGAGAGAAGAAGAAGCGGAGCGAAGCGGAGCCAAGACGATCTGTTGACAGCGAGATTGTGACGCGTAACCGGCGCATTGGTTTTTTTTTTGTTCTCAAAAGGGATCCGTTATCGAATTGAGATCACCGCCACGCGCGCGCGCGTGTGTGTGTGTGTGTTGTGTGTATCCGCGAGTCATCGTACACGTACGATATGTGAGAGAAAAGTGTGACAAGGATAAGTCGTGGTAAAAAGAAAAAAAGAAAGAAAGATTTTCCTTCTCCAGCCGGAGTGGACAGCGCGAGTTCGTCAACTCTTTCACGCCACTTAATCCGGCCCGAGACTCTGCGTTTGTGTTTAAGTGTGTCTGTGTGCTTTTGTGCCGTCGTAAGCGAACCTCCACAAGCCATGGAAGCATCCGGAGTGATTGCGGAGAGGCTCCTGGGGATGAGGCTCGTCGGGATGAGATTCCTGGTGCTCGTCGCCGCCTGCTTGATTCCGACCATAAAAGGTGCGTATTATTAATTAATTTTTTACTCCGTCGAAATGAAGCTCGTGTCTCTCCGAAGACAAAAAAAAAAACGTATCTCTGCGTTTCGGGGATGTTCTTTACCGGGGATCGAATTGCCGCCGTAATTTCGACGATCCTTAATTCGAGATAAGCGAGGATCCTTAAGTTAAGTGGTTACTTGCGATAGAGGGAACGATCTGATTTATAATTAAAGGATTTTTCGCGATTGTACGGCTTTATCGGGTAGTTGTACGTGAAATGTTTGCCACGTAGCGGCGATTTTCTGGTAATTTGTGAGGAAATAGGGTTTTGTTTGCTCACTGAGAGAGAAATATTTAGTATTCGTGATTAATTGCGTGATTAAATAATTATATAATGATTACTTAGTGCTAATCGATATTTGCTAAGAAATTTTCTCGATTGGAATTCTCCAATCCAGTGTGCTTTAAATTAATATTTTTGCCTGAACTTAACACAATTTAATAATTTTTTTTTATTTCGAAGGTCAAAATTCGAGGACTAAAATTATACAACTTAAAATTGTGTAAGATTGTAAAAGACATTTGTTAGAAATAATTTGGATCTGGAAGTATCAATTAGAATTAATTATTCATATGAATTATAGTCATTTTGGGTATCAACTATAGTTTTTTTGAGTGCCTAATACCATATATATGATCATTATTTACTATTTTAGCAATAATGACAACAAAAATCGAGCTCCTAATGATAAGTTTATCATGCAATCATAGTTACAAATTCAAAACTATAATTATATTGATAAATAATTATACAAATGATATTCATATAAATTCTAGTCATTTTCGATGCCAATTATATATTATATTTTTTTAGACATATATAGGAGCACAAATATAATAATAATTATTAATATTAACACACACACACACACACACACACACACACACAAAATAACAATAATAAAAATGGAACTCGTAATTATAATTATTTCATCATGCAATAATAGTCACAAATTCAAAATTATATTGCATTGATAAAATAATCATATAAACGATTATTTAATATTTATAAAAATTATTGTTGAATGATTACCTATTTAATATTTATATGAATTATAGACATTTTCGCCAACTATACATTTTGTGAGATATATATGTAGAATTGTAAATATAGTTATTGTTACTAACATTATGGGAGTAATAACAATAAAAATGGAGACCCTAATCATTAATTCTTTTACTAATTATAATAATAAAAAATACCAAGACACTTTTCTCTCAGTGCATAGCAGAAAAAGGAGGGAATGGAAACAAAAAATTGAGCCACAAGGCGCAGTTTTTCATGTCGCTTCGTTACACGCGCCTCGCTTGAAGCTCGATAAAAAAAATTACCTATTTCCTGGAAGTCAGCTTTGGCAATTCCAGCGAAATCGTCGATTCCGAAACGATACGAGGCAGAGCTGTTTACTGGGGCTTCAAATTCAGAAGAAAGCCGAGTCATCGCACGTGCACAAGTTTTTTTCCACATTTTTTTCCACATTTTTCAGAATCGAAAGGTCTTTACAGTCTCGTCTCGATCGAAGCTTAAATATACCTGCATAGAGAGAAATATTGGAATATATTTTTAGCTCCTTCTTCTAATTCGTACATTAATATCCAATTTTTAAGGTTAACAATGAACTATTTTCCCACTGTTCCTACGCGCTAACTAATCAAACTAACGAACTGTTAACAACGAACCAACGTATTCTACTTTAATATCGTGGAATAATGTTGTACGACGTGGAATAATTTTCCCTGCAATTTTCTACGCTTTCGTAAATTTTTATTCGTAATTTGAAAAATCGCGAGTCTCGCGAAATGTGACGTGTGCTTTTGCAGAAGAATTTAACGCGATATGCAATACTAAATTATTAAAAAGGCAGTACCTTACGATTCTCTGTAAAGCTGAACTTTTTCCAGCGTAACATTTCGTATGCAATGACCCGGAAGATAAAGAGAAGGAGGGAGGGGGGGGGGGGGGAGGAAAAAAGATACAGGTTCCTCTATTCCTCTGCCGTTTCTATTATAAAAAATAGAAAACAAGATAGAAAGTACACACGGGCGCTACATTATGCAGCTGCATCCAATCTGGAGTCGATGTTTCTTCAATGCAAAGGCGGGCAAACGTTACTTTTGTCCTCGTTGTCTTTTTTTTTTTTACGAGTTTTCAATACTCGATATTAGATATTCCGATATAACTAAGCGCTAGATTAAAATCCGGTTTAAGTTAAAAGGCGGTCGGAATTAATTAAAGAAATATTGTTATGAGATTTTGTTATTTATTACAGAGTAATTTAGCGCGCGCGAAGGAGCCCGACGTTTTTAATCGTGTACAACTTTAGCAAGCTATTAACACTTCGACGTTCTAGTTGCGAAAACTCGGCTCCAAGTTTCGCTTAAAAAAAAAAAAAAAAAAAATTTTCCTGTTAAAAGCAAGGCTAAGAATTTCTTGCTTCCGTCAAACTGTACGCGCAAGTTCTTCTGCTTGAAGATGAGTAACCATAACGTATATTAAGTGCACTCACGCTACGTTATTTCTCACAAGTAATTTTAGAATGGATTAAATGCTAGCTAGACCTGCGGCAGTGCGGGAAATGACGAGAATTTCGGTAGGATTGAATTTTTAGGACAACGCGTATTTGTAATCCTTTCTAAAAGAAATATAAATAAATTAGTGATGTACGTGAATTTAGTAATTAATTTAATATTTAACTTTTATTAAGTGAAATTAAAGAATTTACTTGAAATATTTAATTAAATTTATTTACAATATCAAACAATTTATTAATAAATTAAATAGAAATAGAAATAGTAAAGTATATAAATTCGGTGATAAGTCCAGCAATTTGTTGACTTTTTAATTTCTCGTGGTTTATTTGTGACACAAAGGATAAATTGTGGTAGCGTATTACCTTTTCATAAACTTAACAATTATTATAAAATTATTGCAAGCGATAGCTATCTTTTTTTAAAAATAGATATCGAAAACAATTGGAAAGTGAAATGGTTTTCAGATAAACTTTTCAGATAAATCTTTGAATTGATTTTGTTGTTGTAATTTATCCAAATGTTTCATCGATTTATCTCAACCCCGGATTCTGCGCACCGGCTGTGGTCGCATTTTGAATTTACGATACAGTATCGATACGAACTTTTCGATCTTTAATTTACCGTTAACGCACATTTTCATGTTGCCGCCTCAGCTTTATTTCCTCTTTAGCAGCTGACGAATATACGTGTTCATTTATCGATTTATTTTCTCCATTTATGAATCTCTTAATTTATTAACGCTGTCTATGTTATTGGAAACGAAAAAGGATGCTACTGGAAAACGAGTTTCCCTACGGCAATAACAGCGCTTCTGCTTGCATAATGCGGCCGCGTTAAAAATATGGTGGCATCATTCGGCAGGCGCGAAACGCAGGAACGTAAATGGAGAAAAAAAAGAGGGGGAGAGGAGACGCGCGCGAGATATTTCATTATAAAATATGATTTAATTTTAAAGTGCCGTTACGGGACGGCCCAGTTTTCGCGTTCCGGCAATCCGGTCCCGCGGTTTGCTCCCTGCCGAAAAGAAAAATAACGCGAAAGTAACAACGAGGCTGCGCGCGCGCGCGCGCGCGGGATCGATATTGTAATGTGTTTGTCTATTAAACTACGCGAACTGAAAGTTTGCAAAAAAGAACCGTCTACGGAACGCTGCGCGCCTGGCGATATTCTATTATCCTGTTCCGCGCACTGATTTAATTGTGAATGGAAACGAATTTCCGCGATGCTGGACGTATCGCGAGAAAATTCTCAATATTACGCCCCGCTTTTTGCACCGCTCCCTAAGCGCACTGTGTACTATTTGTGTCATTATACTTTTATCGGTCCGGTGAAAAGCTCAGCGATACTATTTCCATCTTCTCGTTCTCGTGCGCCGATTTACCGGTTCCATTTTATATATCACTTCTGTATCCCGCGCGTTTATCGCGCAACGTTATAATTTTTCCGTAATTTGACCGCACGTCAGCCCCAGCATGAATTGGGTCGAAGAAAATTTTACCGCGGCATGTGCAATTCGTATCCTCCTAATTGGTTCGATTGCTTTTTAATGGACATTACGCGATTAACGCATTCGTTCGCAAACTTTGTCAAATTCTCATTAACGAATCGTTGTATATTTGTAACATCCTTCAATTTATTAATGTACATTTCTCATTAACAAGGAACCGCCATTAATGTACGTTTCTCATTAACAAGGAATCGCCATTAATTAACTTACCAGTTCGGATTCTACTACATTTAATACATCAATATTGCTCGAGGAAGATCCCGGCGAACTCAGTTTTTACCGATGCAGAATTAAAAATACAAACATGTTCGAAAAAAAAAAAAAAAAAAAAAAATAAAATACAATAAAATAATAAAAAGTAACAGACGCGCTTTATTTTCGTTTTTCCTTATCGTCGTGTTTACTCAGCTTTTTTTCCGTTAATGGAACTTGTTAAAAATAATTATGCGCTCTTCTTCTTGCTAAAAATGTGACATACTCTGCAGGGGGGGGAAAAAAAAAAGTGGTACCTTTGAAAGCTGGAGTTGAATTCGACCTAGTTTCGGTCTAGCCTATTCGTGTTAACGCACACGCATACATGGATACGTTTTTGCGCGCGCACGTAAGCGTTCCGCGTTTTTAATTTGTGAAAACGTTTCAATTCCGAAAATCAAACAGCTCGATAATTGAATGGTGGATTAAAATATCGTTGGTGCAGAACGAATGTGCGTTACTTAAAGAGAGAGAGAGAAAGAGAAAAGGAGCGGTTTTATTATTGATGTATATTCGGCGATTCTTCTATCCCCGCGCGTGTTTACGCGGTAGTTAACGATAACGCGATACGTCGTGCAGAACTTGTAATATATCGTTCCATTTGCATCCTATACATCTCCTCGTAATCTTGTGTTACTTTTCTCCGAGCACTTACGTGCCGTCGTTGC